CTAAACCAACACCCCGGGGTACCTAGATACCTCTTCTAAGCTTCACAACAGTTCCAGTCATGTGACTTCTTTGTTCAATACTGTATATATATATATCCATGTCGGTGTAAATTACTTGTACCTGATGATGACAAAACCTTGTCGAAACATTGTGCATTTGCTGTTATGTTAAACTTATATTAAAGTTTTTCTTCATTACCCATTCAAGCCGTCTCCAGCCATTATCAACTTATGTATATATACATACAGTAAATTTATAAATATTACTAAACAGAAAGTAACTTATCCAAATACATCTACCTGTGTATGAAACAACAGAGTCTATACATTTGAAACACACATATTATAAATAGCACATGTTAAATAAAATCTATATGCACTGTCTTAGGAAGTAAAAAAAGGATGGGTATCACTATATAAATAAAATGGCCCATCACATCACAAAACAATAAAATGGGGCAGAAGTTTAGTTTCAGCCAATGCAGGCACTCTTGAACATATTATCTATCACAAGTAAACAAAATTACATTCTGTACATGCCACAATGATGTCAATATGTTACCAAGCCTTTGCAGAATGTAGAACTAATACTAACAGGGAACTTTATACACATGGAGACATTAGTTTGTGGCAAGTTTGAGGTCAATACATCTTGGAAAACTTTATCTCAAACTTCAAAGAAACAAAGATTGGGTGGAAATGGCAAAGTAGGGTGAAAGATATGAAATACTAAGTTTATTCATATTTGGAAAGTTCAAAGGAGGCTCACCCATAATGGGGGTCAGTAATGTTTGTGATCTGGTTTGGTGCTGTCTCCAGCATGTATTCCAGTTTCTTACAACACAATGGTGGAAGATAAGCAACAGTAAACATATACACATTGGAGGGGTGGAATGGTTCATACATAAAACGCTCAGTAATGTTAGTGGTCTGGATTGGTGCTGTTCTGAGCAGAATTTAATCCATGACAAATTCTTGCCTTTTCCAATACAACACAATTCAGTATGTACTTGATGCAGCTAGTAAAGACAGATTCAGCTGATCAAAGTGACATACAAATATTGATGACTAAATGAAAATGCTATAGGTTCATTCAGTTGGTGGGCACTATTGGATCTACAAGACTATTTAGTTTAACATTTATTATTCAGTTTATTTAGTGATTTAATATTTAATGATTATTTAGTTTTCATAATAAGCATTTATTATTCTAAATGCAATAGTTATGGTAAGTTTCGTTACATAACTCGGTACGAGTCGTACATTGTGTATGCAGTTTGTTGTACTAGGCTTTGTAATATTGTTGACGTCATCTTACTTGAAGCTTCCAGGTTTCATTCTAATGGACCTAATATAATGTATAGGTAATACTTGATACTGATATTTTCCCTACCCATTCTGTAAAAAAGGTTGCCAACATTGAAATAAATACCTTCATGTGAACTGATATATATACATTGTAAGGTTTGTATACATTTTTTTTAAATAACTATTTAAGAAGATATTACAACCGAAAATATACTGTGATTAATACATTACTAACTTCTATCCTAGGAATTATGTTGTGGTAAAGATACAACATGCCATATACAAGTTATCATATCTGGCACTATATTTTGGTGTATTTCCATCTAAAACACATAGAGGTAATTTTAGACTCTTACTGATGCTCATACTTTATGATCATTACACAGACTATAGTATCTTTGAGATATACAACCCAATTCTGAAAGTCAAACAACTGTATGATTCTTCCTAAATTTGCATTTACTAGTTTAACTTTTCTGCAACAGATGTTGAACATTTTTATATTAAGAGCAACTTTTTTTTCAGTCAATAAAGATAAAAATTGCAATAAAAAAAATCAATTGAAACCTAAAACTATGAAAAAATCAGTTCTATTTTCTTTTTACTAATTTTAACAATCAAAAATGGTATCCTTTTCAACAAAAGAATATTCACAATACTTCAAATAATGATTTATTATTTCAAAAGAAAAATACAGAAAATCTAAAAAGGCATTACTGAAATATCTTAAAAGAGGTAAATTTTCCAATAACTGATTATTTTTTTGTTTATGTTTTCATATAAAAACATAATTGCAGCTCAAAAAACAATTGTTTAACAGTCCTTGTTCACATGCTTACCGAAAACTAAAGTTCTGGTCATTTAGAATTATGTTAAGCTATTACTTGCATATTTGAATGTTCAGAATTCTCCTTTCAAAAATTTCCATGAATACAAATTACACACTTCTAAAATCCTGAAAATAAATATCTCTTCCAGGAATTCTTTATCCATTTATCCATTGTCAGTTTACAATAGCTAGCACAGACAAGCTCTTCTAAGCAAACTCAAATTTTGTAGGGATTTTACTTCAGGTTTCACTGTCTTTTTAGCTTCAGCTCTAATTTGTTAATGTTTGTATTACACATCTGTCCTTTTAGAAGCAATTCCAAGGTATTCGGCACACATTTCTTGATTTTATTCCATTACTTACACTGTTGACTTTTCCTTATAGTCATATAATAGTAATGATAAAATCAATACAGGAACTTTAAACAATGTGTGTGCTCCATAAAACATTTATTAAAAACAATATATTAAGAGATAAATGTGTGTTAACAATCAAGTTATGCTTTTCAAGTGTTTTTCTAAAGGTACACATGTCATAATGCAAATAAGTATATAAATCCTACCCAGTGTTGCAAGTGCTAATAAAAAAACAAAACAAAAAAACACAGTTCATTTAAAAGAAATAAAGAGAAAAATGTCAAAGTTTACTTACACAGCTCTACTAAGGTCTCTTCTCAATTTTAACATTTTCTCATATGATGCTTCATCATTCTTTCGGTTCTGCATCAAAAAATGAGGAAAAATCAGTACTTTTCTCTCGTTAATAATTTTAACAATCAAAATCTTTGCTTCCTTGTTAGTTTTTTTATTTAATGACATCCTTTAAAACTCTGACTGTGGGTTGAGTTACTTATTTTTTCTTCAAAACTATAATTGCTTTTAATTATTTTGTTTAGATTGCTTTCTAAGTACTTTGATTAATATATAAACATGGTATAAGTCAGGTTATAATAAAAATTCTTTTATCTAGAAATTTCTTATATTATTTAACTTAGGTTTCACGTTATTTATGCTAACATAACTACCAACTTTTGAAAAATGTACTTGGAATAATCTTCTAAGTTAAAGAAAGACCAATAGCTACTATTAACAACTGTAAGCAATGCATTTATAGATTATATTACAATTTTTCTGCCCATCCTAAAGTTCAGGTTCATATTTGCTAAAAAGATATCCTCCCTCAAAAATATAATGATTCATATCTTGCTTTTCATGTGATTTTCCTTTTCTGTCAGTGTTTTTATTAATACAACCTTTCATTGCCATTATTTTATGATGTAACAGCATGTAGTCTGAACAATTACTAATGAGGCACAGAGCAAAGAGCTAATGTGAAAAATGACTGGATAAAAGATACTGTTATCTATTATGTCAATATGAAGTATATTAAGTAGTTTTACTAGCAATTCTTGACTTTTTGAAATATTTGGCAACCTGGAACTCTAGTAGGAGTGAACAAAGGATTTGAATGCTAAGTTTACAATACATGAGAACAAACTACTGGCTTGGAAATTCTTTATAATTCATTTTCTTTCTTGAAAATGTTTTCCTTTTAAGTTATATTTGTTTGAAAGCCACAGAAATCTTTCTTCAATGATAAGACACACGGTAAGCTTAGTTAGGTTTAACAAAAACGGTAAGCAATGGCAAAATATTCTAAGGATTTGAAGATTTTGGAAAAGCATGACAAATTTCATGAACTTGAGAAAATAACCATTATTCACATTCCAATTTGGAACAGCAAGAAGAAAGCAACAATTCAGAAAAGTTGGCAGGTATATGTTTTAATGCAGGATCTTGAAGTTTTCTACAGTGCTACGTGTGGAAGAGCTAACAGATCTGAAGAGTAAAAATACTGCACAAAAGCAAAATACCAACTGTCATGTTGTCAAAACACTAGTTATTTCAATGTGCTTGAATACTTTTATTTTAACAACAAATTAATGAACATCCATATTAACACAAAACCTCAAATAACTTTAAATAAGATATGAAAAACTGAAAACAATACACTTTTAAGTTTCTACTTTCTTACTCATTCAAATTATAATCAATTTATGTTTTGAATGCTGGATAAAGCTTTTTTTTTCTCCTTAGAACCAATATATATGTATATTTCATTTTGATGTGAAAAAACACAAACTGCATAACTACAGACACAAATACGTTTTAAACTATGTGTCTACAAAATCATTTGTTCAATTGGATATTCTTATAATGTAGTATATTATGTTACAAAAAAAAAACCCACAAAACTGTTCTAACCTTGGAGTGATAAACTTATTCAAATCAAGAACCAACAACAGATTCAATGCTCTTCATGTCCTTACTGTTTTTATATCTATCAACACTTTTATATATAATGTTAATTTAATTGGTAGCTTCTTCAAGTACTTCCATCACAACATACAGTTTTTTAACATTAAGCTGCAAATAACAGTCCAATTATCAGGATATACTGAATTCTTTCTTCATTGTTACTTTCATTAATGATATTGGTTAGAATGCTTAATATAAATGCTTAATATGATTAAAAAGATTATTTTGCATTTTAAGCTTAATATATCGATTTAGGACTAATCTGAATCTTCTATGCTGGCTGAACTTAGTGATAAGTTATTGAGTTTACAGCCAAAAATATCATTAACAGTGAGGGCATCCAACAGATAACAATGCATGCTAATCATTATAAGTAAGAGCCTAAGAACAGTGTATTTAATTAGCTATACTCTTTACTGGGTTAATTTTTAGTTTTGATCTATGTAGATAGCTTTCTTTGATTGAAAGTTAATATTAATTTGACTAATTAGCAATAACATTCTTTTTCGTTTCACAATCAATTACCAAAACCTTCACAATTAATTACTTTTAGTCTTCTTGAAACATCATGAAATAACTAAACAATGTACAATACTTTAAGGACATGTTTTTTAATTCATTTAAGTGATATTTCTTGCAATAACACATAAAAAATATAAATACCTTTCTTGTCTGCATTTTTTCTGTGCGCCTTCGAAATGCAACATATGGATTATTTGTAGTTGAACCATCCCTTTTTTCTGTTTTAACTTGTGGAATTAATGGATGTTGCTGATGAAAATAGATGAAAAATGATTAACTATATTTGTTATGTTAGCACTATGAATGAAATAAAATTAATTAGCTATACTACTTCAACTGAAATTTTAATTATAACAAACAACATTCAGATTCATTCAAAAGGTAATTTATTACTTGGTTTTTAAGTAGATTCTTCTACAACTACATGTTTAATGTATATACATTTAACAAGTATTACACTTAATGACAAAAGAAAAATATTTTTTAAGGTAAATCAAACTTATTATTAGAAATATGTATGTATTGCATATTTAAGTAAATTTGTTTACATTTTTCATAGGCAAATATGCTAACTAGATATGTAATTTATAACATACAGCTAGATATATAATCCAAAATATTTTTATATTAACGTGTCATTAGAATAAGAAATACAAAGAAATTACTGACCTAGATTTAAAGAAGATATACAATTAATAAAACTAAGTAAAATGCAGCTATTAAAAAGTTTGTATTGATTTAGAGAAGATTAATTAAAAATTCAGAATTTCATAGGGTTTGAATAAGATTTTGAAAGATTGTTTCAAGCTCTTCATGAACATGTTTGAAGATCTAATAAATGCTTGAATAAAAATATTCATACAAATTCTTACACTTTACTTCAGAGCTAGAAAGTTTAGCTAAAAACATTTATTAAAGACATAATGATACTGAACACTAATTAAGATATAAAAATTGAAAATCAGAAAATTCCCAATACAAACCACAAAAATTCATAAATCTTCAACAATTTCAAAACACATGATCCAAAGCAGGAAGGGAAATTTTGTAGAATTATTGAATATGAGTATGAATAACCTGTTTGGGCATTATGCACGTTTTGAATGTTGGAGTTTAATGTGACACATTATTCTCAATATCCCTTTTACAATTATTGATAGGTTTTCTACTTTTACATGGTTTGGATTTAGCAAATTTTAAATTCTTGTTATTCTTATCACAAAGAAATTATAATTAAATCTCATTGTTTCCTCTATGGTATTTGTTGCTTTATCGCTTATTAAAACTGGTAAGTTATTCTCTGAGTAAAATTAAGACTTTACTAGCAACATGGTCATGAACAAAAACAGAATCTTTGACAGGAACTATAACATCTTCAATACTTTCCTTGTGTATATATATTTTTAGTTGTTCAAGTTTTAAGGAGGTCTCAAATGGAGTTCAAAACATCATCAGCAAAAACACAAGGAGCTGTCCACAAAAAAACCTTCCCCAAATATCAATCATACTGCTTAAAGCTACATTTAAAGAATCTGAGAAATTAGGATAACGATGCTTTAGAAAAATAATATTTTCGCATTTATATTTTCAAGAAGAGAAATAGTATCACTTGAAGAAATTTACAATCTATATTCAAATGTTTTTCTTACATAATACATTCCAATAATATGTCCATTGCCTAACATATACCAAAGCTTATAGCCACCAAAATATTGTATTATAACTTGTTTTGTGCATTATTCAAGAACTTAAAAATACATTTACATACCTTACATGAAAAATTAATATCCAGCCTCTTGCTATAGATCTCAGATGCAATTATTAATAACACTTAGTCTCTTCACATTCAAAGCAAACTTCATGAACTAAGTTATTATGATTAAATTTTGGACTTTACTGAGATGATATTTCCTAACTGGAATCACTTCATTAACAGTTATTATTCAGACACACCACTAACAATATGTTAGTAAATCTATCAGGTAGTATATAATATCATGAATAGATGATTAATCACAACCACTGGTGCAGGCTTTTTAAATATGAAAATGGTTAAGATGATCATGAGAGCTGAGAAAGGCCAATAACAATGTTTAAAGATCATCTGTAACAGTTATCTAGCTTAACTTCCTATAAACATGAAGTATAAAAGCACAACATTTTCAATACTTCAGAGTTATGAAATTGCAGAGTCAAAATTTGCATACTAAGTACTTGCTAGCCAGTCACTCACTAGGAGCACTTGCTTTTACTTATTTTATACAACAGTTCGAGCAACAGCAATTATGCTTAGTAATTACCATAAATACCTGCATAGTGAAGCTCAGCAGCAAATAACTTACACTAATCAGTGTTCTTTTGATGATTTATACTGACACATTTATTGAAAGAGAAAACAAATTTTGTTCCCCACAAAACTTGTTTTAATGTGTTTTCTACAGCACACACTAGAGATACAAAATTATTAGAGTGTGAGGGGTAACTGCTGCACCATAAAATTTTTAAATCTGGCTTTTAAAGCTGCTAATCACTAGGCCTATTTGATACAGGAAATAAAATGCCTACTTAAAACATTCACTCTACAACATATAATGTTATACGAGATAAACCACCTCTGGACCCCAATAACTTCAATAATTCCATTTCGTCACTCTGTGTTTATGTTAGCCTTGGGCTCACATCAGACACAACTGAATGGAATGATTACCACACTCATAGTAGGCAAGTAAATTAAACAAAATATTTCAAGAAGTTAAAATTCAAGACATGTAAGAGAATTTTCATAAACAGTTATAAGGAATAATTAAAACCGTAGCCATACTTGAAAAACAATTTCATTTCATTTGTCACACAAAGTGTAAGGTTTGAGCAAGTTCAAAATGACAACATGAATTTTATGAACCCTCTCATTCAATTGAAATAGATAGCCAATTTGTATTTTCATATTTTTAGTTTCTGTCTACATCTATGACAGGCCAAGATACTTGTGTGTTCTTTAAAGGTTTTCTAAGAGTATATAATAAATCTCCAATAATAAATTGGTCAGTAATATTATTAACTCTACAGAGAACTTTGGTATAAAAATAGAGTATCACTGTTTATGACTTGATGCGCATGTTCTTGACTGATAGATTATAATTTCCAAAATGATCACTTACTTGTTCAAGTTGGCAGGTTTCACCTGTGTGGATGTTTTGAAAAAGTCTACAAATTCACTGGTAAAAAATACTGGGACGACTACGTAATTCACGTGCAGACCTTACCAAAACAATTTAGTTTAGGACTGGAGCTTTATAAATTTTTATACTTAGACTACTTTAAATATAGAATGTTTTAAATATGTGTAATATTCAGTCACTAGAGTATTCCTGGAAATTTATAATTTCTGTTTTCAAAAAATATTTCTGAAAAAAGCTACACCATACCTAGTGAAGTATAGAACCATCAACTCTTTACTTGTATATAAACAGAGTACAAGAAATGTTATACTGTTAATTTCACAGTATAAGTAACAATAAAAACCAATTCTTACATTTTTGTTTTTGAAAAGTGCTTCAATTTACTATTTATATAAGTAATGTTAGAAATGAATAAAAACCCTATAACCTGAATGCTTTCGAAAGGTGGACCTCTCTTCTTCAGGGGCAAACTGGGAATGGTGTAATCGAATGAGTGATATATATTAAGAGAGTTTAGTGACATCATGAAGATCATCCAGTTTTCCAGAAAATGTTTAGTCTATTTCCCTATGTACTATTGTAAGCATCTCATTTCCGGTAGAGTGTAGCCGAAAGCGAGAGTGTATGTGAAAAGGTGTTATGGATATTTTATTTTAGAAATGGATAAATATATGTATATTTAAAACTTTACTTAAGTTTAAGTAAAATAAAGGTGACACCTGGAGACTGATTGAAAATTATATTTTATGCTAATCAATTTAGAAAAACAGGTATGGAAAATTGTCTTAAATAAATAGTAAGTTTTAGGAAATTCAGTGTACACATTTCATGAAAAAAATAAGCAAAGAATAAAAATTATTTTTCTGTCAGAGATGAACCAATGAATGGAGATCACTGATTCCAGGATCTAGATTAATTCCGAAAGGTTGAACAGTGTTTAGATTAGCAATCCAATAAGCTTCTTTAATTTCTCTTTCTGCTTTAGTTTTGAAACCTGTTTCAATGCCGATGAGAGTAACATCGTTAATAGATGACCGGATTGGTTAAAGTGTTGAGCAACAGGGAGATCTTTTTTGGTGATAATAGAAGATTTATGGTTGTTGAAACATTCTCTAAGAGTTGTTTGTGTATGTCCTACATATTGGTAATTTCATTTTTTACACTGTATAAGGTAAATGGTGTTTTTTATTTCACAAGTGATTTCTTTGGATATTTTAAAGTTTCTTTGAATGTGCTTGTCAGAAAATGAGTCAGTGGTTTTTTACGAACTTGATGATTTGACAACTGGCTTTATTACACGGACGACAAACATTTTTGGGTGGGATGTAATTCACTTTTGCGTGACCAAGGATATCTTTTAAGAGGAGTTCTTTTTTTTGGAAGGAGACAACGGGAACTTCAGGAAATATCTGTTTGAGGCGATCGTTCAGTTGTAGGAGATGAAAAATTAATTTGCTTTAGATGTAAATTAATGCAAAGCTAAATAAATATGTACTTTTTTACATCAATTTAAATATAATTGCTTAACATTAGGAAACTTTTTTCCAGTACAAATTAAGTTAGTTTAACTACAAAATTATCTTTTTATTATAAAATAATATCATAAAACAAATTTTCTGTCAAAATGAAAGGTTTTGCCTCAATAGCAAAATGATTTTGTTCCAAACATCAGACCAATGTTGCATACTTAAGCCATTTTATTTGTTTTTTGGTTCTCTATCAGCACTTTTTTGTCATAACATATCAAGCCCACTTTGTTTTTCTTTCAATATCATACCCACTGTGCCTACTAGTCTTGGATACTGCATTGTAGGAACTGTCCCTTCAACAGATTTACATGATGAGCCAAATTTGATTATTTCTACGAGTTTTTTCAATGAGGCAAATGAATATCTTCTAAGTCTCAAAAAAGTGGAAATAGCAACTTCAGAATAAATGTCAGTTGAATTAGACTTTTCCATGCTACATACACTTTTTTTTTAGGGGGCCTCAGTGGTTTCTAAAGGAAAATTTTGACAAAAACATTTAAGCCATTAGCAAGTGAAATGTCCTGATAAAACGTGCAATTTC